TTGTGAATGTCTATTACTGTCCTTTACATTCTGAGCCAAGCGCTCAATCAGCCTCATGGCGCTGAAAATTAGGACTTGCGGCTGCTCTTAACCTTCTCTTAAGGCACTCGGACTGTTTCTGGAGTACCGGCTCCTGGAAATCTGCCCTGAATTGCCATTAAGCATCAAGTAGCTTTCACCGAATCACCACTTACAGAGCGTTCTGCAGTTTATTAAAGTTCAGCCTGGATTTAAGAAAGAAAATGAGCTTAGCATAACTGGACGGGGACGGGGTGTTACGCCCATGTGAGGGGTGGATAAACTACACGGGGGGGGTGTACTACAGCATACGCCCATGTGAGGGGTGTAAATAACTACACGGGGACGGGGTGTACTACAGCATACGCCCATGTGAGGGGTGGATAGAACTACACGGGGACAGGGTGTACTACAGCATACGCCATGTGAGGGGTGGATAGAACTACACGGGGACAGGGTGTACTACAGCATACGCCCATGTGAGGGGTGTAAATAACTACACGGGGACGGGGTGTACTACAGCATACGCCCATGTGAGGGGTGGGATAAGTAACTACAGCATACGCCCATGTGAGGGGTGGATAGAACTACATGGGGATGGGTGTACTACAGCATACGCCCATGTGAGGGGGGGAACTACACGGGGACGGGGTGTACTACAGCATACGCCCATGTAGGGGTGGATATAACTACACGGGGACGGGGTGTACTACAGCATACGCCCATGTGAGGGGTGGATATAACTACAGGTTATCCCTGTGCAGGCAGTCCCACTGATGTCAATCTGAATGCAGCCATTGCATGGATACAGCTGCTGCTCCCAATTTTACATCTGTGCGCATATGGGTCTGCCTAGGCATACTTAGGCACAGCACAGCCATGCAAAGCAGTGTGCTTACAGTGAAGCACACAGAAAACAGTCCCCAAGTAAAACACACACCGCACACAGTTAACCCTTTGATCGACCCACATGTTAACCCCTTCCTGTCCAGTGCCATTAGTACAGTGTCAGTGCTTTTTATTAGCACTGATCACTGTATTGGTGTCACTGGGGATGTCAGTGATACCAAGTCAGTTCCCCCCACAGTGTCAGAATGCCCGCCGCAGTCCCGCTATAAGTCGCTGATCGCCACCATTACTAGTAAATAATGAAAAAATAAAAATCCCAGTATCTTTCCCGCCATTTGTAAACGCTATAACTTTCACGTAAACCAATTAATTTACACGTATTGGGATTTATTTTTAGCAAAGACATGGAGCAGAATACATTTTGGCCTAAATGTATTCCGAAATTAGATTTTTTAACATTTTTTTTTACTGGACATGTTTAATAGCAAAAAGTAAAAAAAAATATTGTTTTTTTTCTCAAAATTGTCGTTTTTTTTTTTTAAGCGCAAAAAATAAAAACCACACAGGCGAACAAATACCACCGAAAGAAAGCCCTATTCATGGGAGAAAAAGAACATAAATTTCATTTGGGTGCAGCGTTGCATGACCGCGCAATTGTCGGTTAAAGTAACGCAGCGCCGTAACGCAAAAAATGGCCTGACCAGATGGGGGGGGGGGGGGGGAATCCTCTGGAGGACAGGGATTTAAATGGAGTATTGCAAAAAAAAAAAAGCAGTTTTTTAATCGGCTATTTTTTAGTTTTGGCTAGAATTTTGCTTTACATGAAAAAACGTACCCCTGGGTTCCAAAATAACTCAGCGAACACCACCAGGTCAGCAGAGGACAGGGTCAGGCCCATGTTGGCAGCCGTAATGGATAAAACAGCAACACTGATCTTGTCCGAGAACTGGAACTTCTGGCAGAGAGACTGACGGTCGGCTGACGTGGTGTTCCCGTCAATACGAATGAAGCCCACATTCTGTAAGAGGAGAAATACATTTATGTGTTGATTAAATAAAGTTGAAGAAAATTTGAATTCTAGTATAGCCACTATGGCTTAGGCCTAGTTTACATTTGCAGTAGCCCTTGCCCTTCCTCTGAAAATCAATCTGCAGTGGATAGCTTTGCAGAGGGCAATTGACAGTCAGCTGGGAGGCATTGTGTTGCCTCTTCAGTGCCTGTACTTTGAAACCCTTAAAGTGGCTCAAGGTTTTTTACCTTCATGCATTGTATGCATGAAGGTAAAAAACCTTCTGTGTGCAGCATCCCCCCCCCCACCCCCTCAATACTTACCTGAGCCCCATCAAGATCCAGCAATGTGCACGACAGCCTCGGCTGTCCCAGGTCTCTGCCTCCTCACTGGCTGAGACAGCATGCTGCTGTCAATCACAGACAGTCATCCAATAAGGAGAAAGAGGGGGACGGGACCAAGACACGGCTCTGTGTATGAATGGCCACACGGAGCAGCGGGTGCCCCCACAGCAAGCTGCTTGCTATGGGGGCACCCAACAGAAAAGAGGAGCCAGGAGAGCCTGCGGGGGATCTGAGAAGAGGAGGATACAGGCTGCTCTGTGCAAAACCACTACAAAGAGCAGTTCAGTATAGGCATGCTTGTTATTTTACAAAAACTAAATAAAATGAACCTTTAGTATCGCTTTCAAATCATTGTGCTGCCGCCGCTGTCAATCACAGACAGTCATCCAATGAGAAGAAAGAGGGGGCCACGACGCGGCTCCGTGTGTGAATGGACACACGGAGCAGCGGGTGCCCCCATAGCAAGCTGCTTGCTATGGGGGAATCCATCAGAAAAGAAGAGCCAGGAGAGGCTGCGGGGGACCTGAGAAGAGGAGGATACAGGCTGCTCTGTGCAAAACCACTACAAAGAGCAGTTCAGTATAGGCATGTTTGTTATTTTACAAAAAATAAATAAAATGAACCTTTAGTATCGCTTTCAAATCATTGTGCTCCCCCTGCTGTCAATCACAGACAGTCATCCAATGAGGAGAAAGAGGGGGCGGGGCCAATACCTAACTCAATGTGTGAATCGATGCACAGAGCAGCAGGTGCCCCCATAGCAAGCTGCTTGCTATGGGGGCACCCAACAGAAAAGAGGAGCCAGGAGAGCCTGCAGGGGACCTGAGAAAAGGAGGATACAGGCTGCTCTGTGCAAAACCACTAGAAAGAGCAGTTAAATATAGACATGTTTGTTATTTTACAAAAAATAAAATAAAAAATGAACCTTTAGTATCACTTTCAAATCATTGTGCTGTAGCTTCGTGCAATGCCTCATTACACCCTGAATGGGTCATGGTCGGTGACAGTATCATTTTTGCCATGGCTGCAAAGGAATGTATAACATACAACCACTTCCAGCTGCCTTTGCAGGTTAAGGTAGGCGGTATATCTGCTGCTCAAAAGGCTATTTGAAGACACAAATTAATGTATCTCTGTATTCACAAACACATCACTAAAAGTACTGCGTGAACGCAAGCAGTGCAAGGACCTGAATTTGACTTGGTATCAGTCTTCTGCAATGTGCTGGACAGCAAAGCTCAGAGTGAGGGAGGGAGAAGCAGCAGAGAGACCCGATCAGTTGTGCTGCAGTGCTACCATGCAGATATAGTAGAAGAGATGAGCTCATGAGTGTGCTGCTTCTCCTTTTACTGCCCAGTCATAGTCTGGTGGAGGGCAAGATCTCTCGATTCTACTGAACTGCAGTAGAGCAATACTGAGTCTGAATGAACAGAAATATAAAATTCTAAATGGAAACAGCTCATGTACAGTGCCTTGAAAAAGTATTCATACCCCTTGAAATTTTGCTGCTTTTACTGAGCGATGTTTCTGTTTTTGCTCCCTGCTTTGCAGGGATGAAAAACACTGACACATTGCCACTGTCTGTAGAGAGCCCTATGTTGTTTAGTGTTGGTGAACACTCTTCTGTTGTTTGCTCAGCTGATCAGTGGGTCCTGGCCATATATCATTGGCTGGGACCTGCTGATCTGCTTGTGCTGTAGCGAAAAGCAACACATCCAGGACAGCATATGACCCCTACCCAGAAAGACTGGATCACATATATATATATTATATATATATATACAGTTGCAAGAAAAAGTATGAACCCCTTGGGATTACGTGGAGTTTTGCATGAATTGGGCATAAAATGTGCTCTGAAAGTCATCTAAGTCACAACAATAGAAGAAGAACACAGTCTGCTGAACATAATACTACACAAACATTAGATGTTGCCCATTGCCCATTTAATTGCACATAACATGTAAACATTCACAGTGCAGGGAGGAAAAAGTATGTGAGGCCCTAGCTTAATGACTTCTCCCAGAGCTAATTGGAGCCAGGAGTGAGCCAACCTTGACTCCAATCAGTGTGATGATATTGGATGTGTTGCTGACAGCTGTGTCCTGCCTTTAAAACACACACCTGTTTTGGGTTTACTGGTTTCAAGAAGCACTGTCTGATGTGAACCATGCCTCACAGAAAAGAGCTCTCAGAAGACCTACCTACGATCAAGAATTGTTGACTTGCATGAAGCTGGAAAGGGTTACAAAAGTATCTCCAAAAGCCTTGGTGTTCATGTGTGTCCACGGTAAGACAGACTGTCTGCAAATGGAGAAAGTTTAGCACTGTTGCTACTCTCCCTAGGCGTGGTCGTCCTGTAAAAATGACTGCAAGAGCACAGCGCAGAATGCTGCATGAGGGAAAGAAGAACAACAGTGTCTGTCAGGGATCCCCGCGATCCGTCCCTCGATGGTCCCGGCGCGCAGGCGCACTGCTCCTCCCAGTACACGGGCACTAGGTCCGGGCCGGCCGCGGCGTTCGAGTGCGCGCATGCGCAGTAGAAGCTGCGGCCGCCCGCTGGGCACCAATGGCAGCGCAGGGCGGGATATTTAAAGGTCCCTGAGCTGTCATTTCGTTGCCTTCTGGTCTTACCTGCATTCCTGATCCTGTGAACCTGTATCCTGTAAGTTATTGACCCGGATTGCTCTTGACCTTGCTGATTTCTCCTGCCCAGACCCTTGCTTGCCTGACCTCTCTCCCTGGATGCCCCTCTGTAGATCTGACCTCCTGTTGCTGACCTGGCGTGTGACCCGACGATTCTCTGCCTGCTCCCTTGTACCTTACCGTCCTCTACATTACCGACTCGACCTGTCTGATTACGCACTTGCTCAGCCATCCATCCATCCATCCCATCAGGGTCACCCGACCTCCTCACATTTGGCTCTCCCTGGTTGGAAACCCCTGGCGGACACCCCTACCACTGACAGGTGTGCTCAGTAGAGGCGACCTGGTCTCAGGGTACTACAAGTCCATCCCCACCAATCAGGGGCCCTGGTGAACAAGTACCCTGGGGCTTAGATTCCGCGCTCTGGGCACGCCTGAAACCGGTGGAGTGCTAGTGGTGCCGCTCGGCGGTCCCTCACAGTACCAGAAGGCCATGACTGAGCCTCGAGGAGGACTCACCCCCGTTGGACGAGGGTGTGCAGGCACCTGTCTACCCTGACGCAAGCTGTAAAACACATTACAGGACAGATGTCTGCAGATCGAGAATCGGTTTCAGGCCTGCACCATATCTGTTCCTGTTTCACAGGCCCCCCCGGCTCTGCACCTCCAGTCGCAGCAGCAGCCCACGAGCCGGCTCCTGGGCCTCCCACATCACTCCCTATGGCGGAACCCCGAGTACCCTTACCCGAGCGCTTCCATGGGGATCGCACACGTTTTCGGTCATTTCGTGACTCTTGTCTGCTCTTTTTTGAACTACAGCCACGGACCTTTTTGACAGAGTCAGTGAAAGTGGGGTTTGTTGTCTCCCTGCTGCAGGGTGAACCCCAAGACTGGGGGCCCCACCGACTAAGGGGAAACAATGACCCTCACCTGGTTTCGGTCGACAGCTTCTTTAACGCTATGGCCATCTTATATGATGACCCACAACGGCGGCCTCGGCCGAGGCCACGTTATACGCACTCCGACAAGGTCGGCGGACGGCTGAGAGGAATACGCCTCTGACAACCTTTTTAGGCGCTGGATGGGTGACACTCGTTGGAACGAGTTCGCCCTTTTACACCAGCTTTTCGTATGGGCCTATCTGAGGCTCTGAAAGACGAGCTCGCCCGGGTAGAGTGTGCCCGAGATATTAGCGAGGACTTGATTGCACTCACTATTAAAATTGACCGTGGCTACTGGGACTACGGAGCGCAGATTGGAGAGGTCTGGTCAGGGTCCGCGGAAATCCCTGATGGGTACTCAGTCACCGTAAAATCCCCATTTAGTTCAGGGATCCGGTCAACATACTAGGCCAAGCATCCAGAACCTGCCGGCTGAAGATGCCCCCGAACCCATGCAGCTAGGCCTGGCTCGGGCCTAAACTATCGCCTGGAGGAACGCCATCAGCGCAGACGCAGGACGCTCCCAGAATCTGTGCCTGTACTGAGCGGCGAAGCTGGTCACATGGTGCGTTGTCGCGCTAATAGACTGCATTCCTGCCCGCAGAAACTGAGTAAGTTCACTTCATCTTCTTTATCTGTTGGCGATATGACCCCGTCCCAGTACTTAAGTTGTTGTTCCCCTCTCCTCTTCGTCATCCTTCCCCTCAGCTTTCCGAAAGGACCGTGTGGAGGTGTCGGCCTATTAGTTGATTCGGGGGCATGCAGCTGTTTTTGTGGATATCAATTTTGCTCACCAGCAGGGGTATTCCCCTCCGCCCAAAGGAGAAGGGGTTTCATATCTTTTTAGCTGATAGGTTCCCCGGATAAAGTCAGGGAGTCAATCCAACCAGGAGACCCCTTCCATTATGACTTCCATTGCTGCCGGTCAGCACCGGGAACTCCTCCGCCTGGATGCTATTGCATCACCCCTTTTCCCCAGTCATTCTGGGGCTCCCTTGGTTGCGGGCCCATAACCCCCAAATTGACTGTCAGGAAACTGGGGGTGTCTGTCTCGTTCCCTTCCCCATAATTGTCGGGAACT